AACCTTTCATACTCATCACGAGGAACACTCACCATCTCCTTGCCTGGACCATCTGAGGGAGTAGAAGGCATCGGGTCAACTGACCGGTTCTCCTGTCTAGAGCTGGAACTGGTGTCACTAGTCATGGCATGGTTGGCCCACGTCGAGGGTGGACCATGTAAGTCATAGCAGTAGTTAATAGTATGTCCATCCAAATCACAAAGAGTACACTTCCGTGGATGTGTAGATCCACCACTACCACTCCGGCCAGGCTGGGCTCCTCGAGCCCCACTTCTGCCACCTCGACCTCTCAACACTGCAAATTCTGATTTATCTGAGACATTAGAGTCCATAGATCCAATGGAAGCCCTCCGAAGACGAGCAAACACCTCCTCTAAAGATGGAAGGGCAGATCCTCCTAGTATTTGGGCTCGTACTGGTTCATACTCAGACTTCAGCCCCACCAGAAACCGAGTCACATCAAGCTGCTCTCGCTATTGTGTTGAACTTTGACATCAGAAGTGAGAGAATGATAGACATTTAACTCATTCCGGATATTTCTCACACTGGCATAGTACTCCTCCAGGCTCTGATTTCCCTGTTGCAGATTGAAGTATTCCTGATACAGTTGATATACCCTAGTGGTATTATCCTGACCAGAATACAGTTTCTTAGCATGATCCCACACCTCTTTGGCTGTGTCAAGAAACATGAAGTTCACACTGATTCTGGGTTCCATACTGTTCCACAACCATGTGATGATCTGTGCATCTTCCTGTTCCCAGTCTTCATATTCCTGAGAATTAGCAGGGGGTTTCTCTTCTCTTATGTGCTTTACTTTCTTCTTCGCCTTTAGAAAAACTTCTACAGACTTGGCCCAAGGGACATAATTCTCTCCATTCAGTTTAATGGAGGTCATTTGGACATTCAGGTAGTCAGTAGATATCATGACACTAGGTTTACTATCACTGTTAACTGCCATTGCCGAACTCCCTTATCACTGAATTCTGAGCACTACACAATGCACACTGCACACTACACAGACACTACACCGAAATCTGCACACTGAGTTCAGCAATAATAAATGCTGAAAACCGCACTTGTAATCACCACAAACCCTAATCCACAGCTATCGGAAGTTTCACCATTAAGTAGACACTACTGCCCTTCGTATCACACACAAACCAGCATAAACCCTAGCATAAACCCTAGCATACTGCAATCTGAAAACCCATCATACGAACTGTACCACACCTCTCATGTATTCCATAACAGAAAATATGCATAAAAAGGAGCCTTTACCTCATCGCCTGAAGGCCAACCACACGAGGAAATGAAACACCACTGCACCACACGTACCAGCCCTAATTAGGGCTTAGAAACCACAGCAACCAATCACCAACGACACAACCGGAGGCATAGGAACCTCCAAGGGAAGAGGGCGATCACTCCTTTTCAGCCCTTTTCC